GATGCTGCTTGGCCTGCTGTGTTCACCCAGCCCTGCACCTTGTTGTCTCGGATTCTCCAGCATCTGCAGTTCCTACTATCTCTCACCACAAAAACCTTGTTTTCACATCTTTCCAAAATCTGTCTACATATTCTCTCCTCTATCTCCCGCTGGCTGTTGGGAGGCCTGTGGTATACCCTCAGCATTGTGATTTCACCTTTCTTAATCCCGAGTTCTACCCATGTTGCCTCATTACACGAGTCCTCCAATGTATCCTCCCTCAGTACAGCTGTGAGATACTCCTTTACCAATAATGCAAACCCCCACCCCTTTTACATCCCTTTTTATCACACCTGAAACATTCAGCTTCCAGTCATATCCCTCTTTCAGCCAAGTCTCAGTAATCATAGTTCCAAATACTAACCAAAGCTCCAAGTTCATCTACCTTGCCTATTATACTCCTCGCACTGAAACACATGCATTTCAGACCACATTCCCTGCTTTTTCCAGCAGCATTTCCCTGCCTGTTCCCCTCCTCCCCAGGTGTAACCTTTATATTGGTCCCAGTTTGTAGTTCAAGACTCATTCAGACCATGAACACCCAGAGTGATAACAGGTCAACTTACCGCACCCCCATCTTACAGTCCATGATTGAGGGGGAATCAAACTCCGATAACAGATCATCCATCTGGTTATAGCTGTCTCCATCTTTGTCCACCACTCCATAATAGCCTGGCACATAGGGACGCAGTAAAGTATCCTTCATCAAGGATTCCAAACACTGATGCTCACATTCGCAGTACTTCTTCAGGATCTTACCGTAATCTCCAGCTTTAAAGTTACCTGAAATAAACACAGCAGCTTTGTGAACACCATCACTCATCCTTCAACTGTTCACATTTCTGCTGCCACCTAACTCACTCCCATATCCTAACCTCAACCAGTCCCCCAAATTATTGTCTTCTACCAGACAAGGCCTGACCTGTGAGTGACAGTACTTGAAAGGAGAAAAGGGGTCTGCTACTGACCTTCTCCCACCGCAACGGGATAGTAAATTTCAGTCAAATACAACGAGACCAATGACATCTGAGGCTCAAGTATGTGAGACTCCCAACTTTGAGACAGAAGTTGGTGGGTTCAAATACATTCCAGAAACACACAAAATCTAAGCTAATGCTCCAATGTAGCACTGAGGGAGTGCTACATGGTCAATGTTTCCTCCTCTAAATGAAATATTAAACCAGGGCTCCAGCTGCCTTCTGTGGCAAACATGTTACATCTCATCCCTCACTCCAAATACAAACAAGGGAGTTCTTCCCAGTTAGAATTTATGCCTCAAACAATAGTTTATCTGGTTCTCATCATATTGCGGTTTGTAGGATCTTACTGTGCAGAAAGTGGCTAACTCATGACTTGTCTGTCACAACTGGTGTATTCATTGGTTGTACAGCACTTTGGGGTATCCTGGAAGCATGAAAGATACCACCTTATTGTTAGCTTTCCTTTTGATGACAACCAGAGGAATAAAAGCCCTTCAGGCGTTTGAAATCCAAGCTTTACAGCATATCTTCACCAGGATTACACAAGGATAAATGTATCACTATTCTGGACCAAGCTTAATCATTGATGCTTGCTCTGAGGAACCCTGGTTACTCTCCTGACGGAACTTTACATAATCAAATTGAACCCTGGTGTGGTCATTCTCATCCATCAATCTCTATTTTCACTTTCCTCTTTCATGGTGAATGGTAGGGCCTTAAGGAGTGTAGTGGAACAGAGGGACCTTGGAGTTCAGGTGCACAAATTCTTTGAAAATGGAATCACAGGTAGTCTGGGCAGTGAAGGCAGCTTTTGGCACTTCATCAGTCAGGGCATTGAGTACAGAAGTTAGGATGTTATATTGTAGTTGTACACGATTGTTGGTGAGGCCGCACTTGGAGTAGTGTGTTCAGTTTTGGTCACCTTGCTGTAGGAAGGATGTTATTAAACTGGAAAGAGTGCAGAAGAAATTTACAAGGATTTTGCTAGATCTCAAGGGACTGAGTTATAGGGAGAGGTTGGACAAGCTAGAACTTTTATTCTTTAGAGCGTAGGAGTGTGATGGGGGATCTTACAGAAATGTATAAGATCATGAGAGGCATGATTAGAATGAATGCACTCAGTCTTTTTCCCAGGGTTGGGGAATCAAGGATTAGAGGGCAGCAGTAAGAGGGGAAAGAATACATGGGAACCTGAGGGGCAACTTTTTTAGGGGGTGATACGCATATGGAATAAATTTCCAGCGGAAGTGGTTGAGGCGGGTACACTAACATTTAAAAGGCATTGGGACAAAAACATGGAGAGGATAGGTTTAGAAGGCTATGGGCCAAATGCAGAGAAACGGGGTTAGCATGGATGGACATCTGGTCGACATGAACTAGTTTAGGCTGAAGGGCCTGTCTCTGTGCTGTAGGACTCTATGACTGTAACCCTGCTCTTATTGGGGTACAACTCTACAGTGCCTGATGAGATACCACATGCTTTAACCAACAGCTGAAGAGCATTGCCAGTTTGTTTAACCACAGGGGACATCAATAAGGTCTGAGTCTATCCTGACACAAGCAGACTCTCCATTTCAAGCTAACAAACACGATCAGGAGTGAAAATCAGAGCCCCAATCTACTCCAGTTAATCCAACATTGCATATCTCTCCATGGTATCCAGGTTGCAATAAAACAAACTAGATATAGACAGTCATCACTGTTTGCACCATCCCAAGGGGAACTTATCCAGTGAGCTATTAGAAGAGCCAAAGCTACTTTCTCAGTGCCGGCTATTCTCTGAAGCAAGTGAGCTACACATTGACAGAGAATGTTTAGGGCAAGGTTACCTGCGTGTCCTGCTAACTGCACCCAGGGATAGCGCTTCTTGAAGGAGACAACAAATGGGGACCAGTGTACCATAGTCTTCAGTTTTTTCCACGACTTATTCTGCAAAAGAAAATGCGAATTAAACAAAAATAAAAATCACAAGATCTGGAGTGACCCTCTCCCAAACCACCTCATCGCAAAGTCACCAAGACCCATCCAGCCACCATCCATAAAACCTCATACACCACAAACAGCAATATGTTGAGGACCAGATAAACTATTAGTCGATGTATAAATTCTAACTGGGAAGAACTCCCTTGTTTTTATTTGAAGTCACATGCACTAACAATACCTCCCCCTGCAAAAAGCTATTGATGGCCCTGTCCCACCCTGAAAGCCGTCAGCATCCCTATCATACACAAACACTTCCCCACCCAGCTCTACTTTATTTCTTAATGCATTCATGAGATGTGGGGATTGCTGGCTAGGCCAGAATTTATTGCCCCCCCCCCCGCCTAGTTTCCTTTGGGGTGGTGATGAGCTACCTTCTTGAACCACTGCAATCCTGTTGGTGTAGGTCCACCTCACAATGTTGTTTGAGAGGGGTTCCAAGATTTTGCCCAGTGACAGAGAAGCTAAAGCAGAACACCATGGGTGAACCTGGATGACAACAATAATAAGAACTACTTGTCCTTATTTGGGGTCTTTTACAGGGTAAAATGTGCCCTGGTGTTTGTGACAGGGGTGAAACAGAATTGGACACAGAGCTAGAGGGAGAGATTAGGACAAATGGTCATAGCTTGGCTAAATAAGTTTGATTGAAGGAACACCTTAAATGGAAGAGAAAGAGGTGTGGAGATTTAGAAATAGATACATGGAGCATTGACCCAGGTATCTGCAAGTTATTCTGCCAGTTCTACTTATCACTTCAGCTCTGAGTACTGACCGTACAGGCAATGCTTAACGCTGAGGCAAAGAAGATCTGGGTATGTGAGAGGCCAGAATTGGAGGAGCACTTTGATCTTAAAGGGTTACGTGGGGTTTCAGGACACTTATTGATCTGTGTGTAGTATCTGGGCAAATGGTGTACACGTGGCACTGAATCATATAAAAACAAGATGAGACTCAAAGCCTTGGTAAAAAACCTTGACTATTAACGAATCATCTGACATAATTGCGAGAGACAGATAGTGCTCTCTGCGTTTTATGGACCCTGAAGTTAATACTCCTCTGAATCTTCTCCAAAGATTTCAAGCCTCCCTCTTGAAACATTCCCTTTCCTTTGTCTTGTAGTTGTTAAAGTGAAACAAATTATAAACAAGGGCTACACTAATAGCAAGGAAGACATGAACATTTGTAATGAGTGTTTGTAGCCTGTGAACATTTGACTTGTCTTTTTCTTTTGAAGACCTCTACGACCAAGATCACAACTTAAAATTGTGGCATTTCTTTGTGTTCTGAACTAATTTAAACCTAACCAGCATCTTGTAAGCTCAAAGATAAACACACAGCCTCTTACTCAAGCTACAATTTCTCTACTGGAAAGCCAAACACAAGCAGCATTCCTCAAGACAGTCAGCCTTCTCAGTAGAAGGTGCCATGAAGGAAGTACTTGTTATGTAACCACATGCATTCAATATGTGCTCCATGTTCTGCCCGAATAGTTGCCATGCATGTCATCCCAGCATGACCTCACACAGTCACTTCTGGACACAATACTGCACATTCACCATGAAGCTGACTTCAGCCAACTCGGTGCCCTTTGTGCGAGTGTCCAAAACAACAAGTACAGCTTCACCCACCCACCCAATGTGGGCAGCCCTCAACATATACATGCTCTCACAGCCTCACAGGGAGACTACCACATGGTGCAAGATGAGAGCGTTACTGTTCTGGGGCGAGCTTACTCATAAATCTGCATTTAATCTGCACTAAGTTACATTGAACTGCAACATATAACATTTGTGTACTATCATTTAGTTCCTCCACTATTAATTAACCATACACTAATTTTGTACCATCTGCACATATTGATAATCTTCTCTTCATATTAGAGTCCAGATTATTTAAATAAAGTGGGAAGAGTTCAACATTGATCGAGGTCAGAATACTGACTAGCAAATTTCAGTCACCACAAATCAATGTCTTTTAAGTAGTTCTTATTCCTGCCACTCTGTGCCTTAACCTCCATCCACATACACTCTACTCCTCTTCCCCAACATCAACCCCCAAACTATTGTGCTGCATTGTTAAAATGTGACTGCATTCCTATTGGCTGACAGGCATGAGCCAATGTTTTGCTGAATGTCTGACCCCAGTTTGAAACCTCAGCCCCTTTGATAATGCAATGATCCAGGAGGCATACATGTGGGCATTGGGCCTCAGTCAGCTCAGCTGGGACTTCAAGTGAACAAACTACCTTTTGAAATGGGCTGATCATCAGAGGGTGTCTTTTCAGCTGCCTGGGCCTAAAGCTCTGGAATTCCCTTCTTAAACACCTGTCCCTCCTCTTTTCAGACACTATTAAACCTCTTTCATCAACCAAAACTTTGGGTTACCTCTCCTAATACTTTTACATGCCTTGGTGTCAAATCTTCTTTCTTAACACCCTTGTGAAGTGTTGCTGGGATATGTTTTGCTATAATGAAGGTGCTTTATACTTGTAAGTTTGATGAGGTACAGAGGATCTCTGATAGCTGAATCAGATGGTTTACTCAGTCCAATTAACAGCCCACTCCGTAACTCCACAGGCTCCATGACCAACCAGTTCAGCACAAACCACTCTCCTGTACACAGGAGTTTGCCTGAATAAGTCAGCCTTTTTCACAAGCAATTGATGCACAAAGTACTTTTAGATATTGGGGTTCCCCGACATACGAACTGCACTATATTTTAACAAAGACACCTCTACAGGTGCTGGCTGGGTGCCAACTGTCATGATGTCTTTTCTGCGGGCGCCCAGTATATGGCTTGTTCCATTGTGTGAACAGTCCTCAGATTATAGCAGATATATTGGTGACATTGCGCAGCACAGAAGGAATGGTTCATGCATGTGAGCTCTGGCGTTTAGGAGCCGCAACCATTCCCTTCTGTTCAGAAGACAAGCAATGAACTGGAACATGTTGACAACATAGCATTCCTATGCTGGATGGTATGGAGCTTTGTTTTCTTCCTGTGACACTCTGCCACTTAACATACATTGTACCAAGGTAGTACTGAGACTCAGGAAATTTTTGCTCCCTTGGTACCCCAAGAAGTGGGGTAGCTTAGCTACGCAAACAAGACCATCTCAGCTAAACTTGCATTTAAATAACACGTTTAACATACCAAAGTTTCCACACACAAGCATTATCAAAGAAAATTCAAACAACTCAAGGCTTCTTAGGGCAGAAGACCCAAACTCCATCTAAAAGGTAAGTTTTAACAACTATCTTAAAAGGAGGAAAGAGTGACAGGATAAATTAGAGAGGAAATTTCAGAGCTTAAACCCTTGACAACCCTTGCAGTGGAGTTAAAATTGGGAATACTCAAGACTACAAAGGAGCGTAAATATTACAGATAGTTTCAGGGTTAGAAGAGATAAGTGAAAAAGAGAGGAACGAGGCCAGTGTTCCCTCTAATCTTCTTTCTGGCTGCATGGGCCTTCAAGATCTGTGCATGGCAGTGGCTTCCGGAGCATGGAACCTTGGGGCAGTTGCATATGCATGCAACTTAGAGGGAACATTGGGTGAGGCCATGGAGGGTATTTTTTGGAAACAAGGATGAGAATTCTAAAAGAGACATCAATTGATCACCAAGGAGCCACTGTAGGTCAGCGAAGGCAAACGTGAAAGAGTGAGTGACAGCAGATGGAAAGCAAAGGACACGGGAAAAATTATGCAGGAGGAAACAAAATAAGGGAGGGAGGGAGATGAAGCAGCAGTGGGCGAAGAGAATCAACTAGGATTGCTATTCCTCATCACTATCCAATTCCCAGTGCTGACTGAATAAGTGAAGCTCACGTTGGGCAGTAGAAAACAAACCTGAAAACATGGAAATGGTGGGAAAACCAGATGGAATTGGTGTGATAACAAGGTGTAGAGCTGGATGAACACAGCAGGCCAAGCAGCATCATAGGAGCAGGAAGGCTGACGTTTCGGGCCTAGACCCTTCATCAGAAATGAATTGGTGTGATGGGTGGTTTGGGGTAGAGACACTCAGGAGTTTACAAGAAGGGTTAAATCACTTCAGTACATGTGGGGCTCTGGATTTGGATTGGATGAAACTGCATGAAAATAGCCAAACTCCACACAAATACAGATTAGCCGGTGTGAGTAAGATGTCACATTTAATCAATAGAGGATTTGTTTTCTGAAAGCAGAATGTGATGCAAGAAATGCAATGTCAGAAAAAACGCCCGCGAACTATTCTCAAACCAACACTTTGGTACAATTCAGCCAGCCAGGATAAGGGGCAGTAAGTTCCACTTGAAAGAGGAGTGAGGGAAGCAGAGCACTTTGCGCCCCATCTGAGGGATCTTGACTCTGTCTCACTCCATTATTATGCTGCCCTGCACAGGCTGAATGCTGGTTCAGCTTCTGCAACTTGTCTGTAACCTAAGTGATGACACATCTTTTCCATTACAGCCTATTTGTGGTTTCTGCGGATCTCTCAAGTCTTTTTTTTTGTGTAACACAAGTACGAGTTGCAGCAAATCTGGCAGAAACCACATCCACATGGACAACTTTATTTTCAATCTATGCAGCTGTGAACTGGCACATGGATTTAAAAAGGCCTTCAGGAGCATTGCTAACTGCTGGATTGATAAAACTCCATGTGCAGCCAGGTCAACGAGTTCACATATCAACACTAAGATGTATTGGACCAGCTACTTACTGACAATTTTAAACCAGGATTTTTCAAACGTACAGGAATCACTTCTTGAAACAAGACGTGTTTGATTTGTGCTCAATAAAGTGTATTTATATACCATTTTTAAGATCATAAAACATCCCAGGGCTCATCATCAAACATCACTGCGACTCAGTGCCAAAAGAGGTAACAGGGCGGCACGGTGGCTCAGTGGTTAGCACTGCTGCCTCACAGCGTCAGAGACCCGGGTTCAATCCCACCCTCGGGCGACTGTCTGTGTGGAGTCTGTACATTCTCCCCGTGTCTGGGTGGGTTTCCTCTGGGTGCTCTGGTTTCCTCGCACAATCCAAAGATGTGCAGGTTAGGTGGATTGGTCATGCTAAATTGCCCGTAGTGTTCAGGGATGTGTAGCTTAGGTGGGTTATAAGGGGATGGGTCTGGGTGGGATGCTCCAAGGTTCGGTGTGGACTTGTTGGGTCCAAGGGCCTGTTTCCACACTGTAGGGATTCTATATTCTAGGGCAAATGACCAAAAGTTTACTCAAGATGGTAGATTTCAAGGAGGACCAGATTTAGCCAGAAAGGTTTAAAGAGGGAAATGCCAGAGCTCAGAACCCAGCCAGCTAAGCACACAGCCACCAATGCTGGAGTGATGGAAAACGGGGATTGACAGGAGGTCAGAATTGGAAGAGAGGAGGACAGAGGTTGTGTCTAAAAGCAAGGACACACTCGATGCTGCAGGACAAACAGACTGAAAGAAAACATAAAGCAAAGCTTTCAAGAGACTAAGCAGCTATCAGGTTGACCTTTTGCCTTTCCCTAACCAGTTCTGCAATGTATGGGTCAACTCACACCCCACATAAAAATGGCTAAAACAAGCACATTGGGTGCAACGCATCTTATAAGCCCTGCCTGCAGCATCCAACAAATTAGTAGAGCAGGCACCCTTACATTCACCAGCCAAATCTTGCACCCATTGCACTAGTCTGATGCAAGTAATAGATCAGAATTCAACAGAATGACCACTTGAAAAAAAGTTCGTGAGACCCTGCACTCATCATACAACCCACTGAACACAGGGAACCTGCTGTATGGCAACACAGCATATTAGGATGGTTGAGATAACAAGGTGTAGAGCTGGGTGAACACAGCAGGCCAAGCAGCATCAGAGGAGCAGGAAAGCTGACGTTTCGGTTCTGGACCCTTCTTCAGAAAAATGCTCTCTCATATTAGGATGGTTGCTACTCACCCTCTCCCACCAGCTGGTGGGCCAGGTCTCTCCATACCATTCCCACTGTCTTGAAGATAACGGGGGCACATATCAGAACAAAGAACTACTAAATAATGGGGATTCGTTTTAATGCTCACCCGCACTCTGCACCAGGTTCTGGATTTCCAGCATTTGTAGTATTCTGCTTTTTTTCCAGGACCCTGCTATCCAAATAAACAAAGAGCACAGTGCTAATGGGATTGGAACAACAAGTCTGAATTCACAAGCTCAAATCCCACTAAGGCACATTGTGAAATTCAATTCTATAGAATTGTAGTCTCAAGGAGGCCATTTGATTCATTGTTGCTTGTGCTGGATCTTCAAGACGGTGATCTAATTAATCTCCCAGCTTCACTCTTTCCCATTCTTCTTTGGGATTAAAAGTGAATCTGTTCAGACAGATCATTCCAGATCATCACAGCCTCATCGTGTAAAAGAATTCTCTTCATCTTCCCTCTGGCTCTTTTGTGAGCACATTAAATGTGTCCCTCTGGTTACTGACCCTCCCAGTGGAAGGTGTTTCTTCTTAATTACGTTATCAAAACTGAGCGACATTGATTGCAATCACGACCTGGTCATCAGCAGGCTGAACCCAGAGGTGAATTACCACAAAAACATGAAAAAACCCAAGCTGTTTTTCAAGAATGGAATCTGATCCTCCTTGCCACCGATTCCGTTCCCACAGAGATAAATTCTCATTGCCCATTAAAGCAGCATGATTCTATCATACCACAACCACTGGTCAGGAAGGTTGATCAAATGGCACTAGTATTGAATTGAGGCTCAGACACCAGGCATGCCCCAGGAATAAATAATCTAACATTCCCCTTATGCCAACTCAACCTAATAGATGCTCTAATTCATAACACACAATGGACGGAATGAAACATTTACCAGTTTCACTAACCACATTGTAAGGCTATCTCCGCTGCCCAAAAGAACACTTTGCATTCCTGCTCTATGCGGCCAGCGGTCTGATTATAAACCATTTCATCACTAAAGCTCCACTACTTACCGTGATTTGACATGATTCCAGAAGAAAGTGATTTCAAGAATTTAAAAGCCCTGAAGGTTTATCTGCAGGAGCCGAGGGTTTCAGCAGAGAATATACAGAGAAGGCAAGACCAACAAGGTGTAGTGTGGGAGATAAAAAGTCATCAACCCCAGACCAAAATCACCAAAAGGGCAAAAAACAAAGAATGCTCCAAGGCAGCTACTGCACAAAGTGTGTCTCCACAGTTAATGCTGCAGCTTCCAGGTTTTATTCCATGTCTCAGGGAATGTCAGTAAGACACACCCCTCAGTACGTGAGGGAAAACATACTGACGGTTGCAGAAGCTCATGACTGGGAAATGATGTCAGAAACGACCTTGGTTCAGCTTGTTTGTTTTTACTGTCACTTCACGACTTGGACAGGATTAGACCACAAGAGTTTCAGTCGATCCAGTCAAAGTTTCTGCTGTAGTATCAGCTTGAACTGCCTCTGCCACTCACTGAGAGAGACAGATTCTTTCAACTCTCCTGGAAAGAGAGCTACACACTTCCAGTTTCTATGAAATTGGAATGGCAAGGACTTGGCAACTCTGGCAGCTTTGAGATGATAACCCAAAAAATTATGACAGAATAAGATTCTGCCCCTCTAAATAAACAGTCAACTTCCTTGCATCGAAGGCTTGCATTACATTACTGGACCTTTGCCCAAGAATTTATATGGCAGTCACTGCACTACAGATATTGGTACTGTGCAGTATAATAAAATTAAACTAAAGCTTCTCTCGGTTCAGAACTTGTACAGTCACATTTTTTGCAAAGTGCTGAATTCAAATCACAGGGCCAATAATTGCTTAATACCTAAGCAAGACTACACCGAGTTCATCTATTTCCAGAAACAAATTCCACAACACTGCCTCAGCAAAGACAATGGGCAGACAAGTACTGATATAGTGCCTTTCACAATCGGGCACACCACAGCAATTTTCAGCCAATTAAGCACTTCTTGAATTGCAGTGACTGCTGTAATCTTGGAAATATGGCAACCAAACTGCACATAGCAAGATCCTACAAACAGAATGTGGTAACGATCAAATCATCCATTTTAGTGATGGTAGCCAAGAGGCAAGCATCGGGGAGAACCCTCCCCCAGTTATTAATGTTACAACCTCCATTGATACTGCAGACTGGGCTTCAGTTTAACTCTTCAGCATATCTTTGGTGTAAAACCTCAGTGAAATTCTGAAATGCTGGGAAAGAGTGACAACACAAGATATTTCCACTAAAATTAGTTCAGAACATTGAACAAAGTTGTCAATTTGATAGAGATAGCAGGAACTGCAGATGCT